TATGAGCACTATGGCAAGACAAGTACCGACATTTTTGTGTGCTATTTAATTGCTGTCCATGAAAGGGGTCTTTAATAAAACAACTCGAGTGACTATTAAAACAAGGCTCACTTAGAACTTAAGCCAAGAGCGCCTTCAAATTACAACGTTTGTAGAAGCGCTGCTAGCAGTGCTGCGTCACAGACTACTAATTTCATACAAAATTTAGTCTGCAAAAGTGGCGCGCGCGGTTTTTTATGATGGGACGAATAACAGCAATACCACAAGGGCGCTGCCGGTGCGCTACGTTGTCGCATTGCTGTGGTTTCCACGCACCGAGTGCTACACGAGCAATGCGGTGTCGCAACGTAACGGTGCGTAAGAAAGCGGTTTCTTACGCACCGCAGTACGCCCCCCACTTCGTCTCCTGGTTTTAACGCACCGTCTTTCTGATTTATATGTAATACAACGCAACGTTGTCGCAACGTCGACGCAACGCCCTTGTGGCATCGCTCATAGCCGTGCGCCTGGTGATAAGCGACGCGCATATCCAAGACAGTTGTAGTAACTCAGAGCTTTACATCGCAAAGATTTGAGGGGCACTACCCCGCGCCCGTCACCCTGAGACATAAGTTGACAAGTCCCTTGCGCCTAAAATTTCTTTCAGCTGTGCTTTTAAATGTTGTATGAAAATTAGTAGTGGCGCCACAGACGCGCTACTACAGTATTTCTACAAGCGGAGAACCGCGTCTGAAGGCACCCTATGACTCAAGATAATATCTAGAGGTGGTATCTTAGCCGATGCGCACTCAAGCTTTATTAACATGGGCCCAAGTGTCATTTCACAATGTAAAGTAAAAAAATATACAATATCGAATTTCACTATTTAGATATAATTGAAATAACACAAATATATCTATTTCAACCTTTTGCAATCGCGTTAAGCTAAATTTTACTATCAATTGGTAATTATAATTATTTTGTGATTGCTTTCTCTACTTCATATTGCCACAATGTTTTTTTCTGAAATCTTATTTGTTACAAAACCTAATCACATTGCCTACCTACTAAACCTATTAAAATGAGTACATATAAGTAGTAAAGCTACAGTGAGAAATGTATATCTGCCCTCCCAGCCAGATACCCCAGGTTGACAGTTGGGAAAGCTTTATCCCATCTACCAACTTGAAACTAGGTATTATTTATGCGCTGGATTCCCAACAATACTGCTTCGCTGTTATTATGAAGGATGCGGGTTAGAAAAAGTAAATAGTATTTTTATTTTATATATTACATGGGTACTTTTCATGTAAGCGTTCTGTACTTGATTTCAATGGCAATTTTTTAAATTTAAATATTCTAAAATATTATCATCAAGTATTATTTAATATTCGAGTGTTAGTATTATGAAATATTGTGTAATATTTCACGTTAATATACTCGAATACTTAAGGAATAAAAATTGCCACCGAAATTAAGTAGAGAAAAGTAAAGAAATTTTGACAAAGAAAGTTAGTTAAATTTTACTAATAAAATGAAAATTACCCACAAATAGTTGAATTTTTTATTAGAGATATAATTTTTTATAAATTTCCACCCACTTGTTTGGGTAGGCAAAGGTTCGTGTACATATTGCGATAGTGACGATCAAGGTCTACACCATTATGTTTGTTTTAAACTGTGCTACCATCAATTTACGACACCTTAACCTCATTGGTTACCCGCTGGAAATATACAAGGTGATAAAAACCACTGACTGTTTAAAGGAGCATACTGTAAGAAGTAAAAAATACATATTCGCTTTTTTTTTTTCAAATACATAACATATAAATAAGTTATGAGGTCTTAATTTTTTTCCGTGCATTTCTGTCGAAATATGAAAGCGGCTTCGATTTTTTTTTTAAACACTGGATGCCGGAATGCCATGACATGTTACGATTTTTATATTTTAAAGATTTTGGCTCACTACAAATGAGGCCATTAGCCCAAAAGTGGTGTACACATTTGATTTTTTCTACAATATTACTTTAAATCGTACTAAAGTGCATAATATTATATATTTGGCTGCTATGATCATGTATAAAGAAAATAATAATGATAATATACTTTATACATGAAAATAGCATCCAAATGTATAATAATTATGTACGTACTTTAGCATCATTTAAAGTAATATTGTAGAAATAAAATGTGGGTTACGCCACTTTTGCACTGATTGCCTCAAATAATCTTAAAGGTCTGATGATGTCCAGGAATATGATAAGGATCTCAATACTGTGAACAGCTAGAGGTTTCAAGAGTTTTTTTATTAAACTCAAACGATAGTGTACGATGGTTTCGGTAAAAAAATATTGAAACTGTAATATTGATTTTATTGAACATCATGATTTTTTACTCTAATGTTATGCCATTATTTTTTGTGAAATTACTTACAAAGATCGAACGAAAAATTCCCTCGATATGACAGAACCCGAATCTGAGTCTGTGTGTATATAGGTCCTGTCATAACGAAAGAAGGTTTTTTTTGTGTTCCACCTTTGTATTAATTATTACATTTTTTTTCTTTATGTCGGAAGTTTTACATTTTTTTACTATT